ATGAGTGCCGAGAAAATGGCTGGTGTCTATCCCTGCTGTACAGGTGGGGCTGTGAGAGATCCTAGGATACTGGAGGACTTCCACTTGGGTGGCTCATCTGTCGGGAGTGGCCACTTTTTAATGAAACAGGAGATGGGTAGTGTGGATCAGGGATAATCCTGCCCTGGAATGATGTAACTTTAAGCTGCATAAGGAGTGCTTAAAACCACTTTAAGGTGTTAAGGTGCAGATAGTCCAGGGGTAAAGAGCTCCAGGAGTCATTCAAAATTACTGTAACAAGGCCCTGTGATAACATGCCTTAGAGAGGATGAGCCAGCCCTTTAGTGGTTGCTGCCTCTAGAAGGTATGAATTGTGCTGGAAAACCTAAGTATAAAAGATAGCCCAGAATAAAGACGTGGGCAAGAAGCTGCAATATGTTTGAACCTTCTGCTCAGTTTTTTTCCCCCTCTCTATTTTTGTCCCAAAATGTCTTCGTTTTAGCAGCCCGTTTTTATTTGATTCCTCTCCTTTTTTTTTTTTTTTTTAAGGCCCTTTTATCTACTCAGACATCTTGGACTACAAGAATCTTCGTGAGATAGTGGTGAACAATCGAATTACTTGGCTGATTCATTATAGTGCTTTGCTCAGTGCTGTTGGAGAAGCAAATGTTCCTTTGGCCAGAGCTGTAAATATCACTGGTAGGTGATTTCAGCCCTGCTTGACTTGTCTTTCAATGTAACACCTTCTGCAAAGGCTAGAGGAGACTTGGTTTAGATTCTAATAGGTTCCCTTTGTTGTTCCAGGTTTACACAACATTCTTGATATTGCAGCTGAGCACAGCTTACGACTCTTTGTCCCTAGCACAATTGGAGCCTTTGGGCCTACTTCACCTCGAAACCCAACTCCTGACCTCTGCATTCAGAGACCAAGGACGATTTATGGAGTCTCCAAGGTCCATGCTGAGCTCATGGGAGAGGTAAGAATCTCATTATGGAGTGTTCATTGTCAACAGTAGGCAGCTTGCTGCAGTGTTCTTTCCACTTCCTGCCTTTTATTCCTATAGAGCTTTTTTTCTTTTAATGGTACGAGTCAGCTGTTAAAGCCTTATGGGAGGGAAATGCTTGTAAATTCTGTAAAAGGATTTCCTCTTAAAATCTATAGAAGGAAGGAGAACAAAATTGGATGTGGCAGACTTGGAGTTTTGAATATAGTCTCTGACTTTCCCAGTTGCACAGAATCAGGGACAAGGTGTCTTAGGTCTCTGGACTATATTTGCACAGTATAGGGTGATTTGGAAGAGCTAAGGGTATAAATACCTGTGAAAACTTCCTACCATGGATTTTTCTCCATAGTTCCAAGGATTGGGGTGGGCAAAATTTAAAATGAATGTTTTGAATTTAAATCAGAATTTATTTAATGTGTCTTTTAGTTTTTTTAAGAATTTATTTTCTTCCCAATTGAAAATTGCTTAGTTGGTTATTTTTTACTTTTGCTAAGTTGGTTATTTGTTTTCATTTCCCAGTGGCTTGTAGACAGTCAGATTTTATGCAGAGGTTTCATATAGTAGAGAAAACTCATTTATGCAGAAAAGCACAAGTGCACGACCCCATTAATGTACAAATTTTAAAAACAACAAACTCGTAGGGCAGGTGATTTGTTTAACAGTCTTCTGTTTATTTGCAATGGAAATCCCTGAATAATAGCATCTTCCAACTATACTGAGCTTTCTTAGGAAATGGGAACTGAAGTGCTTCAATGAGGCTACAATACTCTGTCAAAACTTGACTTGAAGCCAATGGAATTTGTATGTTAAAAACTCCCCACTTTTGGGGGCCCTAAATATGGGTTGAGTAGCTGAACTTGTTGCCACTAAGTTAATTTTTCTCTGGAATATTAAAGACTTCATGCTACTAAGAGAAGTTTCAGTAAAAATAGAATTTTAGGTTGTGATGCTACAGTCACTTAGACATATACTTAAAGTTAAGTATATGAGTTAGTCCCTTTAAAGTTGATTGGAGTACTTCTCACTTTAAATATTTAATCTCTTGGCTACAGCAGCATTGCAAAGTTTAAAATATCGTAACAGTAATAGCACTTCAAAAAATAAAATTTGTGCTTTTACAATGTTACATTAGTCTAACAATGCCCCAAATTGATTTAAACATTTTAAAAATCAAGAAACATTGCTATAAATCACTCCATTCCAGAAGATTCCTCGACCATTGAGTAATTGATATGATTTAGTGTTCAAAAGCTGTTGTGTTAGACAAGTATATGGCTGGAATATAGATCTTCTTATTTGTAACATGTTCATTCTTGAATGCTAGAGCTGTTCAGTTCCAATTGGAGGAATGCTTTTGGCACCAGTGGTCAGAGTCCAGTGGATTTTGGGTGTGGTGGGGGCTGGAAAACATGCAGCACTTCTGGTGTCTGAATGGCAGACACAGCAACTCCATCCTACCTTAACAGGACATGGGACCATTTGAGGGCAGCTGTTGGCATGTTCCAGTATTGCATTCTGTGATATTTTTTTTTTGGCTCAGCTTATCCTTTGTGTCTTCCCAATAGAAGTTAAAATGTTTTATATCCAGGCAGACTTCTTTCCTTTCTATCGGGGAGAAATGAGAATGGTGGGGGTAGAGGGGTACACACAGAGTGTGAGGCAGAGACTGGAATTGAAGGCCATGGCATAGATGGAAGGGTGAGAAGGAAGGACATACACAGTCATTGGCATTATATGGTTGAAGGTACAGGGAGAATGAGATCACATAAAGCTCTTGTAGGAAGAATGGGGAGCCCTTGAGTCAGGTGAAGGGGGAAATGGAAGCACTGTGCTCTGGCGTGAGGCATAGGTAACACAGGACTTGCAGAATCCAAGGGAGAAAGAACAGGTGGCAGAGTGAATGGGGAGCACAGCTCTTTAACATGCCAAGGACTCTATCTGAGATTCTCCCAAGCTGCAAGGGAAAAATGAAACTGAATCCCTTGACATGGGAAACTAATGCTAGGAGCAGCACACAGAGCCTATGGTGTGAATGAGGGCGATAGAAAGAGGAAGTTCCTGAAACAATGTGGGAGAGAAGAGGTGCAGGGAGTCTCTGGTGTGTACAGTGAGCTTGTCTTACAGTAACAAAGCAGTGTGCAGCCTTTGAGCATTTATCTAAAGCTTTGCTTCTCTGCTTCCTTCACAGTACTACCATTACCGGTATGGCCTGGACTTCCGGTGTCTGAGATATCCAGGAATTATATCTGCTGATTCCCAGCCTGGTGGGGGAACCACTGGTAAGATTTATTTCCACACCTCAGTATTACCAGCAAGAAGCTCACCACATACCTTGAATAGTAAAGATAAGAGGGACATTAGCATGCATTTGTTCTTCTTTCCAGAAAGCATCAACTAGCTGTTCACTTCATTGAAATGAATAGTGGCCCTGTGAGAGAGGTGCACATGTAGGCAACAAAGGTGCCCATGTAGAGGCATTATTTCAATGCCAAATTACAGTGGTTCTATATATGCAGTGTGTCTGTCCCTATTTACGGTAGGTCATACTTGCAGAATTTCTCCTGGAAGTGATTCAGTGACACTTCTGTAGTTTGCATCTATTTAAAGAAAACAGTCTCATGGGGAAAGAGGAACTTGGGAAACTCCAGGGTTGTGTAAACTGAAATGTTCCTTCTAGACAGCTCCTCAAATGCAGCTGAAAAGACTCAAATTCTCCTTCTGCTGAAGCTAACAAGGTCTGCTGAAACCTGGATAGCTCATGGGGATATGAATGGAGTATGGTTCTTTTTCCTACTTCAGAGCCAGCACATGTAATAAATAAGCACAAGTCATTGTCTACAGGGCTTTGGGCCTCTGATGCAAGCTGGTATCTGTCTGCCTCTAATCTCCGCTGCTATGCATCATAATATGCAGCAGCTGTTTGTTGCACACCACCGCAAAGATGGCCGTACCTCTATAGCTTGAAAAGACAGAGTCCAGAAGCCTTGGGCAGGGACCAAGACTCTAATGTGCAAGGCACTGTATAAAAACAGATCAAAGGAGCTGAGGCGTTATACTGGACTGCAAATTGAATACGAGTCAAGAGCGTGCCTTCTAAAACTTCTGGTATGCTAGGTTGTAATAATAGGACTGTTGCCTGCAAGTCAAGGGGAGTGATGACTCCACTTGATCAAGACTTGCTCAGGCCTCAGCTGGAGCTCTGTGTCCAGTTTTGGGTACTGCACATCAAGAGAGATGTAAACAAATTGGAACAAATCCAGCAGAGAGCAACAAAAATGGCTAGAGGTCTAGAAAATATGACTTGCCAGGAAAAGTTGGAAGATGTGAGATTTAGTCTGGAGAAGAAGATTCAGGCAGGATTTGGCAACAGTTGTCAGATACCTGAAGGATTGTTAAAAAGACGATCAGCTAGTCCAGAGGCAGACAATCTGCATCATGGGTGTCATAAATGGCATGAACAGCTTCTGTGTGTAGCATGTGGCAGGTCAGGAAAGGTGCAGGTAGCACAGCTGTAGATAGGGAAGGGTGGCACTCGGGAAGGATGCAGAGCTAACTTGTGACATGCATCCAAAAAGTTAGTGCCTCCCAACTTAGCCTTTGTGACCTCAGGGGACAAGACAAAATCTTAAATTATAGCCACAGAAATTTAGGTTGGGCATTAGGGCGAATTTTCTTATCGTGGGTACTTAAGTATTGGAATGGACTAGCCAGAGAGGTTGTAGAATCTCTATCCTTGGAAATTTTTAGGAGCAGGTTAGACAAAAGCTTGTCTAGAATGGTGTAAATGGAAGGTCCTGTCTTGAGTATGGGAGTTGGACTATAGATGACCTCCTGAGATCCCTTTGGCCTTACATTTCTTTGGAGAAAAATTTATGCTCCCTTCTCCAAAGAGGTTACATTCAATCCAGAACTGGAGATGGAAAGCAAGGAGAGAACAAGGCAACTTTTATTTTTCTTGTCTTCCAGACTACGCAGTCCAGGTTTTCCATGATGCCATAAAAACTGGCAAATTCCAGTGCAACCTGAAACCAGACACACGCCTCCCAATGATGTACATTGACGACTGCCTGAAGGCTACATTGGACGTCATGGAAGCTCCTGCAGAGCTGCTGACCATGAGGACCTACAACATCAATGCCATGAGCTTCACACCTGAGGAGCTGGTGCAGGAGGTCCAGAAACATGTTCCTGAGCTCGAGGTGATCTACAGCGTGGATCCAGTCAGACAAGCCATTGGTTAGTATCTACTTCTTTGTTCCACTTCAGGGATGTGTGTCATACTAATCTGAGCGAAGAAAGGGGAAAGCCTTAAATTACTGAAGGTGGGGAAAGAACCATATTTCCCTCCTCCTTTCCTATAGGTGGTGGTCGTAGATATTTATAGATGTCTGATTGCACCTAGAAATGTTGCTGCGGTAGTATGACTCTTGCCGTTTCAAACTCTGTTCTGGTTGCTTGTATGACCACTGATGAGGAACTCAGTTTTTTGAAGCTTACAAAAATCTTTGCATTATATCTCACGCTTCTCTCTTTTCCTTTCTTTTCTTCCTCTGTAGCTGACAGTTGGCCAATGAACTTCGATGACGACAATGCCCGGAAGGACTGGGGATGGAAGCATGATTATGATCTTCCTGAATTGGTGACCACGATGTTTAATTTCCTTGGCTCTGAGTCGAGGATTGCCCAAGCTAATTGACAAACATTGGACAAAAATTGATTTCCAGTCCCCAGCAAAGGACCAGGGAGAAACTGTTCAGCTGTTCAAACTGTTTAGTTTAGAGTTCCAAGTCTTATAGCATGTAAATTGCAAACTTTCTACAAGTAGCAATAGAACTGGGATTGACGTACTGTAGATGGATTTACTGTCTTGAGTAGAGGGTACCAAACAGACAAAACAGTACCAGGTTATTCAGGTAAACCTACAACACCAGTGAACATGAAGCATGTAGGCAGGGTTCTTGGATTTTAGCATTTTAGAAACTGGGGAAAAAAGCATCTCCAGTAGGGCTAAAATTATCAAATCATTCCTATTGCCTGAATTTCCTTCTGAAAACAACAAGAGGCAGCACTGTAAAACCTTGTGTTTTAGGCATATACTGCAGAGTGAACAAATTGTACATTTTTCTTCATTTCCTTAGTGGAAGTGCCTAGTTAGAAATTTGTAGGAAGGTGAGAGTGTGCTTTTCCTGTCTCTTCTGGCAGTTAAGCAGACAGAAGTGCCACTCCATATTCATACTTTGCAATGGCCATTATAATTTTTTTTATAAAAAAAGAAACCCTCTAATTAGCAGTTCCTTCTTTATAGACATAGTGCTATGTGTGCCTGCATTTTTCTTCACACATGAGATTGAAATGTTTGTGGTATTATTTCTGTAATGCCCATAAATGTGAAGGGGAATAAGACTTGAATTCATTATGCTTTAAAAAACACAAGGTTTTCAAGACAAGCTGTTTATGTCCTTTGAAACTTGCTTCTGGCTTCAGTCTTATTTTAAAGATGGATCTGGGATATTAAAATCTATATTGTGTATGTGACTCTATCCTGTTTAAAGCAGTTGATGCCAGGGAATGAGATTGCCTTTAACTAGCACCACTTGTGGCCTGATACCAGTCAGATTTCCTGTATCAGTGGATAGCAGCTTACTGTAGGAAGCATATTTTAAAGGTGGGCTGTGACAGAGTCACTTGCACTGAAGCTGAGTTAGTCTTTAAAATACCTGTTCATTCACCTCACATTTTGTACGCTGTGTATATGTGTATTTGTATATTATTTATATGCAGGTACTGTTTTTAATCTCAGAGGAGGGGAATTCAGAGCTGAGACTGTACCAGCACTTATTTATTATTTCAGGGTTCAAGAAACGGAGCCAAAGCTAGCTTTCTAGTTTGTTGTTCAAATCTGGCACTTCAAAAAAAAAAAAAAAAAAAAAAAAAAGAAAAGAGAAGAGTTCCTTCAGTCACTGAATTCATGTGAAGGTTTGAATGGATGTTTAGACTTGAAGAAATAAAGTTGTGATTAATGTCCAGCAACCACCTCTCTCTAGGGCAGGGCAAGTTCACCAAATTTGCCACTAAATTCTAGCTGCAGTTGATAAGGGCTATCTCACTTGACTTGCACGCAGAGGAGATTCTGGGAGTGACCAATGAGTTTTAAGGCAAGCCCGTTTCTGAGTTTGTTACATGGGTCTCTCCTGCTGCCAAGGAGTCTCATTACTCATGCAAGGGAAATAAAAGTACCTTTGGGTTTCGATTTTCCCCGTCCTTCTTTTTTAACTGAGGAAAAGTTTGTGTTACCAAAGGACACTTTCCTTTTTCCTCCCCTTCCTTCCTGTTGCTTGTAATACTGAGATGACATGTTGCAGCCATAATTCAGAGGCCATTAATCTACTGTCCCTTAAATGGGAACGCTCCACTGGTTTTACAGAAATAAGTCTTGTGCTCTTGTCTGTTAATTTGCTGGTTAAAAATCAAACTTATCTTTATTAAAGTGTACTTAACAGAAACATCTCCAAGGTTCCCATTGAGTAGGGTAGAATTTCTTGTCATACCCATTCCTTGCCCTCACAAGCTGGGTGTTAGATCTGGTGGGTATACATGAAGTGGGGGTATGTCTTTTTGCCCCTTTCCCTAGTTCTAGGTCTCATTTTGTCTATCCATGGAAGGCAAAGAAGAGGCTCTCAGCAGGGGAAAAGTAAAACCTACTTTACAAAAATGGCAGTCTTCGTAGATGCAAATCTGAGCTATCTGCTGTTTATGGAAGTAGTGCATATAAACTGGATTTGGGGATTCCAGTTTGTTTCAAATGAAAAAATATACGTATTTTATGTTAGTGTTTTGCTTTTAAAATCACAGGAATTTCCTTATAAGAAGCTTAAGTTATTTTTGGTCCTATTTTCAGTATAAAACATGGAGGTATCTACAGCTTTAAAACCTGTCTGGTAAAAGTTTTACTGGGCAAACTTGCCGTGGACAATATTTTGTTACATTGCCTTACCCTATTCTGCAGTGCTACAGTCTTGTGTTCCCTCCAGATATGATAACTGACCAGACGGATTTTTCTTTGTAGGGGAGCCAGTACTGTGAGAGGAAGATTTTTTTTTTTTTCTCCTTAAAGTAACCTCAAATGCAGATTCTGTTATAAAACTCTGTTTTAAGAATTCATTGATAATTGTTGAATTTGTATAGGTTTGCATTTTGTATGTCTCTTTTCCCTCCACTTAATGACAAAATATGCATTTCCAGCTATTTCTTTGAAATTATAATATATATATATATATAATCCAGGGATGTGTTCTTGTGCTGAAATGTTTAAAAATGTGTTTACATTTCTGAAAAGACAGGATTATATCTTTGGTCATTGCGCTGATTGCATTTGAACTACTTGATAACGTTTGGCCCAGTGGGTCAGTAAAGTTGATCTTGGACAAAGTACCAGTACCCTCAAAGAAAAGATTTATTAACATTACTGTTCTCCTCCCTGCCCAAAGAGGCTTCTTAGTAAAGTATCTTACCCTTTGTTTCAGAATGAATGGCTTTTTACACAATCTCAAGTCCATTCCAGGCTTTCACCATCCAAACCATTCCAATGCACAATCTTTGAAGAGCTGCTGATGCATCCAACCCCACTTCTGAGCTGCAGTTTAAGTTATAGTCTGTTCTACTCATAGAGAGAAATTCCGGTTCAGACTAAAAAACATGAATTGAAAAGAAAATGTACTCCTAGTCTGAGCAGAAGCTGTGCTTGGATGTGTAGTTATGAATGCAAGGGTAGATTATTGAATTGCATGGTGGGATTTGAGGCTGCCACATTCAGAAATATAGGTTTTATTTATTTATTTATTTTTTCCTATTGAACAACATTCTCTAACTTTGAGGTGGCCATATTCCTGCTTTTTTCTGTTTTAAATAAACTGTACTGTAGTATACAGCCATTTTAAGAAGATGGCAGCAATGACCAAGCAATACTATTGTATCCTTTCAAGAAGGTGAAAAACTGAATCTAGTTAGTGTCCAAGGCCCGACATTACATACTAGACTGGTTATGCATACACTTTCCCTTTCTCTGGCTCTCCACATTTTGAATGCTGTTGTTTTAATGTCCCCTGGATTATAATTGTTTAACATATTACAGAATTGTAATTGTTTTCTTGCCAGGAAGAAGATAAACTTTTAGGGGTGAGACTTCTCTCCTGATATTTGGATGTTGTAGCTGTTATGTTAACTATTTGGAAAAAAGATTTTAAGAATATTTTTTCAAATGTTGTTAGGTCATGGATGATGCCTACTTTAATAAAGTCCTATGCAAGTATGTCTTGATGTTTTTTCTTTTCTTCATAGTAGAGCCAAAGACCTTTTGGAATGTGTTTTTAAAGCAACTGGGAAAATCAGTTGAATCAGAACCCTACTGTCAGATGACCCTTGAAGTCCTTTGCAGGCCAACCCCCTGCATAGATGCAAGGTTTGCTTTTCATAGTTTCATAATTTGTAGGGTCAGAAGGGACCTGGGGTCAAATGACCCCAGGAAGGTGTTCATCTAGCCT